TTAACTTATGAGCATGTTATTAAACATTAATTTAATTACGATATTAAAATTTAAATAATAATACAAGTTTTTGTCTTCGTTTATTAGTGTGTTATTAAACGTTAATTAACATTAAATTACTTGTTAAATACAAATTTTCGCTTTTATCTACATATTATCACATCAATTTATCAGTATATAACACTATATTTGAAATATTCTTTATTTATTATTAACATTGGCTAACATATTAAACCATATTTTCGCTTTTATTTACATATATATTATCATATATATATATCGATTTATCAATATTTGAATATTTAATTATTAACGTTGATTAAAAATTTTCACTTATACGTATATACCGATATATTAGCATATAATATGTTACTAATTTATTATGAGTTAATGATATTTAATTTTTGTGAAACATATGATTTATCGGGCTACGTCAAAGAGGCCGGAAGAGATCGGTGATCGTGTGATCTGGACATTTTTTTGCCATGACTAACCTATCTCTATTAAACTAGGCCGTTTAAATTCAAAGTGTAAAAAATTATATTGTTAAACATCGGATCGAATAAATATATTGTGGAGTTTACTCTAGTAGATCTTGGATAGCTTATTTGTTAATAGCATCGCACCCATGAAAAATAATTTACTTTCATTTTGTTACAACATTGAATAACGATATTAGAAAATATATTCAAGAGATTACGTTCTTCAATATTTTTTGGTTTTTAAAATGATCAGGCCCGTCTAAATTAAGTCTCGAACCCGGATACAAATAGTAATCTATAAAATTCTATCAAAATTTTTAGCTTTACGAATGTACTGTAATATAGTAATCATTATAGCCTGGATGCATGACCTCAAATGGATTACACATTGAAAGAACATAACAAATATATAATCATTTTTTAATAATAGCATATATTGATTCGGGAAGAAAAAACAAAATAATTATTGTCACTATATAATTGTCCATAAGTAATAAAAAAGAATCTGAATATTCATATTGTAGTTTTGCTAAGTAATAAAAGGAAGAGGTTTTTGCGAATTGTTCAATCCCTACCTTAACCCGCACTGAAATAATGCAGGAAAAAATAAACTTAACTGATAAAACTTGAAAAACGAACAAAAATTTACATATTTACAAGAATAAGCATATAACATGACTTCTATTAAAAAAGTATCGGGATGTTTAAAACAAGAAAGGCAAAACAGTATCATCCCAATCTTCTCCAACCCAATCACTAAGTTCCATAATTCTGGCTTCTACTTTACTTTGTTCAGCAACATGTTTTACCATTGTATCATAAAGCCAATCGAGCACAGAAGCTTCTTTAATAGATTCGACCATTGTATTATTGTCTAACAAAGGTTCTTCGGCGTTACTTCCATCGCTTGTTCGTTCGACATTCGATGAAGATTGTTCAGAAACTTTATCTGGTATACCATCTTTTTCGTCAACAATCTCCAGAGATTGTAGACTTTCAACTAAGGTATTCGGGGAAGCAACTGGGGTAGGAATTGAAGATTTTGGAAACAAAGCAGAAATCATTTTATGTTGTGGTGTGGCACATACTGCCTCAATAAACAATGTAGTAAGTCGTTGCATTACAGTAGTCATCAGCATGTAAGCAAACAAAGTCTTTTGGTCAAATGTAAAAGCATCTCTCAAAGAATGCTGCCCAATCATAGAACCATTCCAGGCGTTAGAATAGGGAAATGCGAATTTTTCCTCAAACGAATGCTTATCAAAATTGAATTCAGGAATGAGCGTTGTTTGTACCCTAACTCGAGAATCTTGCCATGTATTCTGATTTGCAGATGATGATGATGGTGGCTTATCTTTGTTGACATTGGGAATAATAAGATACCGAGAATCAGGAGACGACGTTTGAGGTGCTTTGGAACGTTGAACGTTGCTGTTATTTTTAGTTGTTTGAGTTGAATTGTGAGGTGGGGAGGGAGGAGCTGCTCCATCGGGCTGCTTCTGTTGTTTCCGCAATTCTTCGACTTCTTGTTGCAATCTTGTGTTTTCTTCTTGCAAGTGCATCAAAGCTTGCCGAAGTAAATTTATTTCTTCTTGCTGTTGTTCTTTCGTTGATTCCAAGCTTTGAATGTATTCTATAAAAAAGTGATGGATTTTTTAATTTTGATAATATAATTAAATTAAGGGAATACTATAATATTAAATAATTATGTGATAATTGAAAACTAACCTTTTCTTCGAACACGAAAGTTTCTGGCAGATATTTTATTACGAAGTTGCCGTCGCTCTTTTGAAGATAATTTTTTTAAATCAATTTGACTATTATCCTCGAGTTTATTCTGATCACTTTCTTTGCTATTATTAGGAGTTGTAGATAATTTGAGCGTAGCAAGGATATTTGATGCTGAATTATTCTTTGTTGGTAATGTGGAGCCAGATAAAGTCGAAGTTTTACTGTCAGTATATGGCTCTTGTTTAAATGAAGGAAGTTTCGCCAGTAACTCGGCTAATTGCGCATTTAGCATAGCCAAAGAAGGTCCAACCTCAGAAGACGTATTTGTCGATTGAGAAAGTGCGTTAGTTTCTTCTATGGGATTTATTGAATTCATTTTAGGTTCTTCTGCTACGGAGTTAGGACTTGTCACCAACGAAAAATCATCCGTAGCATTCTGCATGGGTGTTGCATAAATCGACGAGTCAAGGTTTGTAGCGTCCTTAGCCAATTCACCTTCTAAATAATAACGGAAGAGATCAGAAGTGGTCATGTTTCCAATATCAACGTCTTCTTCCATTGCGTCGCTTCTCAAAAAATCCATGTCAATATATTCATCGAAGGCATCATCTGTGCCATAAGAGTTAGGGTCATTGGATGACATAATGTAGACAATTTCTTTTGTGTTGGTATACTGCAGTTTTTTTTTTTATTATTCTAATAGTCTTCGAAGGTGAACGAAAAAGCAAATGTATAAAGCTAACTAACGGAAAAGTAACGAGTAGTATGTGCGTATTATTAATGATGATAAATTCTAGTTTAAGAGAATTATCCAAGACATTCTATCCGACACATTCCGAAGATCTGTCACACAAATTATTTACTTTTATTAAATTTCCGTATGGCAATTTTGATAGCATTATAGACACCTCCCGGACTAGTACCCTTTTAGCATTGTTGTTACGGGACAGCTTTGGACATAGGATTTTGATAAATTTACTTTCAATACTATCTAACGCTAAGGTTAAATAAAGCAGGTTATGGTGTGCGATTTGAAATAGATATAAATATACTTAAATGGTTTTTCGATATATTCTTAAAATGGTTTTTTGACATTTTAGAACCTATCCATCGAAAATGGAGTGATGACAGTTCGTAATAAAAGATATGTGAGAAATGAATGGTTTGTTTGTCTTCAAAGTTTAAGAGGATTGAAATACTAAGGAGTATTGGTGAGTTTCTTGCTGAATTATTTGTCGAGTTGTGTATTTGAAGTTCAGCTGTCACATCGGTATATATATATAGCAAGAGTGAACGTTCTTTCTTTCTAGTTCCCGGTGTTCCCGAGCTTGCCTAGGCAACTGGGAATTCATGATGAATAGGATACACTCTGACATCGAAAGCACTGTCATAGAATATTCCGCCTGTGCAACTTCTTTGATTAGCTGATAATGACGACGTACATTTCTATTTAGAAGATCGGTATTGACCCGATTTACTATTCAATTAAATAGATGAGTTGCTAGCAACCAATAAGACTATTGGTATTATAATGGGCCTCTCTATGAGTGGTTATTCGATACAGAGCATACCTATAAAATACTTTGAAATACCATAAAAGTTTTTAATATTTTAAAGTACGAATAAAACAGTACAATAATTTAATAGCTATATATCTTTCAGTATAAGTACGGTTATACAAGAATTAAGATGGCACAAGAGTGTGATAAATCATGTAATAAACGCTTATCAATGTATCCATCATATCCTTTGTGCCAAATAGGAGTTATCTATAAAAAACTTAATCTGTTATACTGTACAATTATACAGTATATACATAGTTATATTTAAAAATGAAGCTACAGTGTAGTCATAGCAAATAGAGGCCAAATTCGGGTTTTAATTTTTATATACAGTATATAAAGAGACCAATTTAAAATTTAGCTAATTTTTACAGTATAAAGTACTATAGCTAAATTTAAATTTTTAATATGGGCAGCCGTCAATAGAAATCAAGCAAATCTACATTTGAAAAAAAATCAATACCTTGACTTTCACAGCCCATATCTCAATGAATTTTACAGCTATATTGATGGTTTAATATTCAAAAGAAAGCTTAGACTATAAGCTTTCTTTTGAATATTAAATCATCAAGATAGCTTTAAAATTTATCAAGATATGAGCTGTGAAAGTTAAGGCATTGATTTTTTTCAAATGTAGATTTGCTTGATTTCTATTAACAGTTGCCTATATATAGGTCTAATATCAATCAACTCTTCTCAATGATCACTTGTATACAAATTTTCAACTAACAGTAAACACAATTTTTATTAAAGATATGTGGCCTTATATTGCAGTTTGTCTAGAGGTCAACTGCATTTCTAGAGGACTCTTCTAAAAGAATATTCAGCATGCAAGTCAAGAGTGTTATTATACAAGATAACTGACAGGTGGTGTCCTTGTATAAAAAATTTTGGTAAAGAGTAGTGCTCACCAAAATCAAATAAAAATTTGACAATCAAATACTTAATAAAATTTGACAATCATAATTTCTAAATCAGATAATGTATAATCTCAATCTAATTTAAATTTTTTTTTATTTTTTATTTATTTTTTTTTAATATTAAGGTAACCACTTAGGCCCTTGGCACTTTATTAGTACAAGCGGTAGGCCAATGTTAATTTTAGC